GCAGAGCTGTAATCAGTGTAATCACTTTGCCACACTGTCTCATACGTGTGGACTGACAGTACTGAACATTGTTTTCCCTGTTGCAAACGGAAACAGCATTAAAATCTTATCAAAATTAATTCCAATCAGCATCAGTCCAAGAACAAAACTGACCCAACATGCTTTTGGGGGAAATTCTGGCCATTCTTTCTATGGCTTCCACTTCTTTTTTTTTTAATGAAATGTTTTATTCTTTTACAACTGAATCTTATTTAAGGATGAGAACGGGAAACTAATGAAGAAAGGTCTCTGACCAAAACATTTTAGTATACGAAATATGTTTCTTACTAGGAGGATTTATGATCCTGTAAGCAGTAATTTGCATAGCTGCCTGTTCACAGCCAGATCAGAGAGACTCAGGGTGTGTTTTTGGGAAGGATGCAGCAGGTACCAAAGGCCAGGGACCTGATTGGCCATTTCACCCCTGCCATACTCTCACAAGCTGTACAGGGGGAACTCACTAAACATTATCTTGAAAATACAGAATTAAAATGTTACTCCTGAACTACTAATCTGATTGACCCCATCGATCATGTCACACCCCCTCAGCACTGCCAAAATGCAGTGTGACTGGCCAAAATGAAACAGATGCGTTCCAAGGTGTTGCTGAAGATACTGACTTCTGTTTCCCACACATTTTAGTGCCCAAAGCAAACATCTTTCCCACCCCACTGCCCACACACAAATCATTCCTCTGAGCAGCGCTTCCTTTCATATTTGACACCAGTATTTTGCACTGGATCCCTGATGCCAGCAGTGTTTTGTATGGCTGTTACAAGAGGGACAGTTGATATTCCAGCAAACAACCACATAAAGGTAACCAGGGACTCTTTTTACTTTTGAATTAAAAAAACCCCAGAATTTCTTAGAAGTAACATTCCGATCTCATTTTTGCTGCTGTTAACTGTTCTCTGCAGATTCCTGAATGAATTAATTAATGCATTCTTTCATAAACAAGAAAAGTAATTTAGGCCTGGCTAACCTAGGATGAGAACCACTAGCCTTTACCAGGCAAAAATAATTGCTTATTCCCCCTCTCCTGACTTTTCCTGCTAGACAATAAATGTATGCATTAGATGAGAAAGGGTAAAAACACATTCAGCATTCGTAACATATTTTTGCTTTTAAAAATACTTAGGAAGACATACCAGAATAACGCAGATCCTTAGTGAAGAAAAATTGTTTATTCCAGCTAATTTATACCTACATGCAGTTGGAGTGAAAGACAGCTTGAAAAGGAAGTTTTAGAGAAAAATAATACATTTTAAATTGCTATTAAAGGTAGGAAGCTGTTAAAAAGCTCTTTGGTTTTTTTCTCTTTCAAGAGGAAGAATTTGAACTGAGTAATTACTTTGTGTGGTTCCTCCAGGAACGAATACAATATTTTAAAGAGAAAGACTTGAGGGGTTTGACCCATTTAGGATGTCAAAGAGAAGGCTGCAACTTCATGTTTATGAGGAGAAATCCGTGTGGTGAAAGCCCTTTCAACTGAGCAGTCACATAAAACAACAGTATGCTGGAAAGTGAAGCTAGGCAAACATCAACCAGAAATATCAGTTTTTAAGCACTGAATGTAATCAGCATTGGAATAAGCTGAGGTTGGCAACAGATTCTGCACCAAAAAAGTCTTCACTAGATGAAATTTCAAAGAGCTGCAGCCTTGTTCATACACAGTATAATTAATTCTGGGAAAGGACTAAAAAATGAATGGCCTTATGAATGTCTAGATTGCAGATTGCTGGTCTGCTCTATCCATATATCTAAAAATCCTGCCTTCTTGTAATCCAGATGCTCACAGAGGTTTAAGGATCCAGATGAGTTCAGGAAGTGCTTCATTTCTTGATGCTGTGCTCCTTCATTTTATTATTCAGCACACAAGGCTACTGCAGCAACCACTCTGTTTTCCACAACTGTCCCATTCCCACTGCTGGGCTTGTCTTACTGATAACCCCCAGTGAGACCACACCATCCTCAAGTTTTGGGAGGATCAGCAGTTTTCAGATGTGCCAGGATTGGTAGGACGCTTCCAGGCCCACAAGAGCATTTTCACGTTTATACCAAGGATCAGAATTGCACAGAATAAGCGAGTGGTATTTAAACAAAACACACTGCTTTAACATGCCAAGATGTTTATATCTAATAAGGTAAATTTATCCCTGGTGTAGCTCCCCTGAATATACCTTTTAGTTATACCAGAGATGCCATTGGCCCAGTGCTTAGAAATGAGACACTGCCTGCAACAGACTGGGATTATTCATTAATTACAGTGCTCATCACCATAGGACTGCACTTTTGCTTATATGACTTCCAGACCATGAAAAAAAATTAAACTGCCTCAGTTAAATTAAAAACTGAAGATATAATAGAAATAATAGATATTTCTAGATATAGAAATAGATATAAAATCCACTGGAAGTGAGAATATAACCTGGTACAGAATGCAGTGCCCTTTAAAATAATGGGCTTATACCAAGTGGCTTCACTGGAGATGATGTCTGTCCATCTCCAGTTCATCTTAACCTCCCACTTAGCACACAAAAAACTATCAGCTTACAGTTTATCAGATAAATGTTGTCTTTAACATCCTGGGAGAGAATTCATTCTTCACCTGCCTATTCTGCAAAGGTAGCATGGACTCAGCTCCTCTGGATCTCAACTTCTTCCTTCCAGAGTGAACATTAATTTCTAGTAAATTGAGAGAGATAGTCAAATGGTTATCCTGTAAAGGTATCTACTGCAGTTACTTTAATACAAAATAGTAAATTTAATGCAAATGTATTATATGGAAGCAAATGCCTCCAATATTCAAAATACTTCATCACATCACCAAGTGTCTCTGTGCAGAGGTCGCTGGTAACACCAGTATCTTCCCACTCCTATATTCATGTTTGTGATTTCATGCATTCTTCATGCATTTAAGGACCAAATCCATTTCTGAACATAACCTATCAAAATTAACATTCTGCAGGCTGAAAACTTCTCTCTTACAGCATCACCTTTGCAAACAGACATAATCTTTCTTACCAGTTTTCCATGTTCAGGCCCACAGAGCACCCTCCACGTTACTCCAGAACAGAAATGAACAGCCTTCAGGGCTCAGAGCCCTGAAGAGACACAAACACCAACACTGAGCTCAGTTGAAACAAGAAAAACCAGAGCCAGGTCGGCCTTCCTTTCACTTGAGTCTACATCATAGAAATCCTGCCCCATTTTACCATTCAAATTTTACTTCAACACAAAGAAGTGGATCACAGTCTGCCCACAACTACCCCTTCACTGGGAAACAGTCTCTGAACCACCATGGCCAGGAAGCTACAGGCAGAAGCTGAAACCATTGGACACTGCGAGGCACAGAGCTCCAAAGCTCCCCTGAAGGTAGAGATGGCTTCAATCGCACCTTCCAAATTGTATCACAGGTACAGAGATAGAAATTCAGCTCCAAAGCTTAAGGAATTAATCCAGTAGCTGATTCTGTTCCTCCATGGAAAAATGCTTTTTTATTTAGAAAATACACTGTTCTCTCCCCAGTGATCAAAATAGCAGCCAGTTGCGTGTGTCAGACCCTTAATGGATCAAAGTGGGAATATGCAGGCAGTCAGACATCCTCAAACACGGCTTCCTACCCAGAACAGAGAAAGAGCTCAGGTGCCAATTTCTAGCTAAGAACCATGACCATCATGTGAAATTAGGTTTCTGAAATCTTAGTGCAAGGTCCTGACAAGACAGATGTCTGCAATCACTAACTTCTGTTAGTTTAAACATAATTGTATTCACTACAGTTTCAGTAAACACGTAACCAAGTGCTTAAAAATCTATTTTAATGATGTTTACAAGAATAATAATACTCTGCATTACAAAAGAAAGAGGTAAAAGGTACGTCTTTTACATGTAAGAAAAAACTTACAACAAAGGCAAAGAATATCTTCAAACCAAAATAAAGCTATGTTGTTCTCTACAGGGAAGCTTCGGGTGTTTGAGATTACTCACTCAGTTCACTGCGGCATTCATAGAAAAAGACAAGGATGGACAGTCAAAATAGTTACTCTACCAGGTCAGCTTTAAATATTCTACTTTCAACAATTTAGCAATAAAATTAAAAATATACAGTAAATATCTGCTACTGTACCAAAGCCACACACAGAAAATACAAAATATACAGAAATCAAGTGTTTTCCATTCAGCAATGGGAATCACTCCCACATTCCACTCTGTCCTGAAATGAGCACTCCTCACAGTGACCAAAAAGCAAGACCACTGTCATTATACTTCACAGAGAGGGCAGAAGACAAATGCACACATTACTCACAAATCTGGATTAACACTGATTCTACAAATTGTTTGCTGCGGAATCCTAGTTCATCCATGGAAATATGTAAAATTAACAATTCAGTACAAGTCAGAGTGAAGACAGTGATGCTAACAAAAGGTCTCATCCTGAGACTGCTGCCTTTGGGGCAGAACGAGCCCTGGTTGGGCAGTCTGACCCCAAGGACATTACAGTAACAGAATGTAGTACGCTCAGCAGAATTAGCACAAAGGGCCAAAACTGATCACTAAAACGATGATCACTAAAAATGTTTTTCCGAAGAGCAGGATAGGACATCAGGAAAGCAGAATACTCTGGTATTCATTGCAATATTAGGCTTTTGAGCACAGACGTGCTCACTTAGAAACGACACGCGTTACAAATACAAAACGCTACAAATGCTTACTGCATGCAAATAGTCCCCAGATTACTTCACTTTATCATTTCTAAATCAAAAGTAATACATACATAAGGATGAACACAGTTTCTATTTACAGTAGCTTTGACAGAAAAGGGCACATTAAATAATGACTGAATCACTAGCATGAAAATGCATTTCTAAATAATTTAAACCCTCAAAACAGTATTTCTTGCTAAAAATCCTTCATTTCAATGAAATAAGTTTGTAAACATTGGAGATGTATATTTATACAATCTACAGTCTCAGCAATTCAGGTTTATCATCGCTGTTGGGTTCCAGCTGCAGAACAGAGTCACGTGTGTACAAGTGGTCATTACAGCTGTAGCGCAAAGCTGCACATGCACCCTCTGGGATCCCTCGGCCCTCCATGGCCTCCCCGGGGAAGCCGTTCAGGTACTGGGCTATGTACGACCCCGTTGAGTGCCTGTTGACAACGTGAGGAGATGCTGAAGGCTTGTTCCGGAGGACGACTCCCGCTACACTACTCGTGTTAGAGGATTTTTGCTTGCTGGCAGCCTCCTGTCTCTCCTTGGCCCGGCTGGCTATGTTCCGCACTCGGCTCTGGCTTCTGGACGAGAGTTTTCTGACCAGTGCCTTTGGGCAGTCGTCATCAATCTGCCTGGAGTACAGCGTTTCACTGCCGTCCTCGTGGTCCAAGGACACCAGCTTCCTCAGCTGCTCCGTCAGAGCATCTGTCGAATGTGGTCTCATGTTCTTCATAGCAGCAAGTTTCTTGTCTCTCATGCCCGATGAGATAAAGCTCCTACTTATGTACTGATACTTACTTTCAAAATTGCAGGAAATATCCTCTGATGTCAAGTCACCGAGGCTCTTGGATTTGCAAGGGCTGGTCTGCTTGATGCCTGAAGGAGATGGGAAAGCCAAAGCACTTTTGAGCTCCGGTGAGTGTATGTTGAGCTGGGATCTCTCTGAGATCTGCTTATCTGAATGATGATGATATAAGAAGCCAATGTTGGCACACAATGGCAAAGGGAACTGGCTCCCTGCAGTCCTGGAGACATCCAAGCAGCCCAGGGCAGCAGCACAGAACTCAGTGGTTGCGCTGTCCCCAGAGGTCCTCTCCCCTCCATGCCCAGTGTCCTGCTTTTGCCGCAGTTTCAAAGGGGAAGCCAACTGGCTCATGTCTTCCCGTCTGTACTCACACGCGGTTACCAAGAGATCTTGAGAATCCCCATCCACTTCCACCAGACTGCTGTTTTCTGAATCCTCACTGGTGGGAGGGTCAACAAGCGTCTCCTCAAAGATGAGGCTACTGCAAGCAAAAGAACTGGCAGACCTGGGGGCTTCCCTGCTTGTTCCACATTTTCTTTTGAGATTTGCATTTAGCAAAGAGAGAGGTGAGGGAGAAGAACAGTCAGGCAAGCTCTTTTCTATACTGTTTACACTTTTTTTGCAAACTAATTCTCCATGGGTCTTACATTCAGTAGCTGGTGTAGGAGTTGCCTCGTGGATAACTGTGTACACAGAAAATTCTGCAGTCTCAGGGCTGGAGAATGTGGTGGTATCTGGCGTTGAGCATAAAGAGGATTTGATGGATTTTGTGATAGTCAAGTTGTGCTTACAAGGACTTTTAAGATCTGCGGTGAGCACGTGTGGGTGTGTGGCCGTCACACCGCAGGTCTGGCTGCTGGAGCCATGGAGGCTTGAGGCCACAGCAAGGTCAGTTTGCTCATCCATGACATCGAGCTGTCCGATCAGAGCCGAGACAGCACTGTCCATCTCACTCTCATTCGCCAAAGAAACTTCATCTATAAGGTGAGAAATGTCACCATCTTGCATGGTTATAGTGGAGTGCAAATCAGGACCATCAGAGCAAATGGTAGAAGATGTATCTGCCAAAGAAAGAGGTGCTGCAGTGCTTTTCTTGATGGTGCCACATTGGTGATTTTCCATCTCTACTCTTTGAAAAAGGGAAGTCCCTACAAGAGTTCTTTTCTCCTCCTCTGACACTTTTGTGTCATTTTCATTTTTATTATCTGCACAGTTTTTGTCATGTGTTTTTTCTGTGGAAAGTTCAAAATCAGAGTCCTGCAGTAGAGAGACAGTTTCATAAGAAATATTGTTTTCCTGATCACCTACAAGATGATTTATTTCAGCTACACCACTTGCAAAAATGCAATTTTGAGGTTCCTGTAGAGGAGGTACTAAAGAGTCAACTGTCGTCTCCTTCTGGTCATTCACCTTAAATGCAGATGTCAAATTTGAAGTATTTGTTGTTTTCTCAGAACATGGAAAATCAGATTCTTTCAAGTCTGCTTCCTCCTCATTTGTATTGTCATCATTGTTGGCTAAATTAAATAAGAAACACATTAGCTGCATACAATATTGTGTTCTGTTTATTAACAGCTATTTTGTCCTTAGACAGACAAATGGAGAACGCAAAATTAGGTACAGTTGTGACAGAACTCAATTATGGGGTTGTGCAGGTTTAGTACAAATTATCTGAGTGACATGAATAAATGGAAAAATACAACTGCAGGCACTTCATTGAGACTTCCTTTGAATGTCTATTACATCAAGCACATGATGTAATATTTGTTGCAAATAATGTTAATGAGGTACCATATCATAGCTTGCACATGGCATTACCTTCAGCTGTGTTCCTATTCAGATTTGTACTATAAAGAAGCATGGCAATAAAGACAGAACAGAACAGCTCTGTTAAAAACCATAATACTTTGAAACAAGATGCATGCTTAAAAGAGCTGAGTAACAAGCATCAAGTAGATGGACTCCAGACTGTATTTTACATGTAGTTATTGTAAAATGTTACAATTTAAGGATTTCTTTTTTGATCTTCTACCAGCATTAGATATTTTCTCCACCAAATCTTCTTACTTGTCTTTATATGCCAAATCTGAGCTCCATGCCTCATTCCTTTGGAGCTTTTAATTAAACAAGGACTACAGAAGTAAGCTTGGCATAATAGATACTGTTTCTAACATTTGCTAGAAATCAGGTACCCTAGGAAGAAACAAGAGAAGTCCTGAGCATTCATTAACAATGACTGACCGGCCCACTCCCTCCCCATAGAGTAAGAGCTATATTTAATGAACATGATATTAAAAGGCTGATCTCCAAAATCTGAAAAGTTCCCCAAGCTTTCCAGCGCTCCTAGGTAAAGATGGAAGAAATGTACATATCTTTGATTTGTAGATTTTTTTCCTAAGAACAGGGCCTTAATGGACCTTAATTCCTGAGCGTACTCAAGCCTGTTCCTGTCTGTGCATGAGCCTGTGTTGCACCTTGCCTCACCAGGATTCAGGCTAAATGCTTTCACAAAACCAAGGGCCCAAGTTGCTTTTCTCTACATCCACCACTATGCCTTGGCTGCCCCTGCAAGACAGGGACACAAGAAGGTCCCTTGGGGACAGAAGACTCCATCATCTTAGTGTGTCACTTCTTTATGTCTAAGGTGGCCAGTCCTCCTCCACAGGAGCAGACCAAGCCTTATAGAGACTCCAACGGACAGGATCCTACTCCTCTCTCAGTTAGAAGGGGCAGGACTCATTCCCTGTGACAGCTTTTTAGGTAATTTTGATATAAGTGAACACTGGTGACCTCTGAAAGATGTGGAAGTTTCTTCTAAAAGGATTTTGTGTCTCTGTCTGTAGCATCTTTAGGAAGAAATATCTAATGATTACATCTGCCATGAAAAATTGCTGAGCTGTATCATCTTCACAGGCTTATCTAGAGAATGTTTCAATTTAAAATACAGCATTTCAGAGTTTACTTCCTTTATTGGGAATATCTTATTTCCTGTCCGATGTTTATTCTCAGAGTGGCAGGAAAAACAATTTGGTTTCATTTTGCTTGCTGTTTCTCCTTAGTAACTTTTTTACAAGGCCGCGTCCAGATTATCTGTTCCTTCATAGCCACTCATGTGGGCGAGTGACACAGAGGTGGCTCCAAAAGCATGTCTTCATCTGCAACTGGTAGCTCTCCTGTTCTAGGGTGGCTCCTGGGGTTGCTGGACACTGCTGCTCAGAGTGGAGAGAGCCAATCTAATGAATTACAGCCCCTCTATTCGAAGCTCCCTACTTATTCCAGTACTCCAGGAAATCAAGTATTAGGCAGGTCAAACACACGAACTTTCCTGTAGTCATGGGAGTAACTGGATTTCAAACCCAGGACTATTATTGCTGAAGACACTGACATAAAAGCTATTTTAAGAATTAAATTGTATCATGTATCAATAACTTAAGGCCAAGATTTTATCCTAACACATGCTTTCCATATAACCTAGGTTACTTAATTTCATTAACTTAGGAGAAGATCAAGACTGATGGATACAAAGTTTCACCTACTTTTACCCTTTGCATCTATTTGGAAGTCTGCATCAGCCTTTACACACACTATTCCCCAAAACATATGCTGTGTGCTGTTTTTCCTCCTTGAAAACAGAGAGAGAGAAGACCCACCATGGCAACAAACAGAAGCAAACCAGAAACTGCTGAAGCATAACTGAAGGCTGGTTCTTAAATTACAAAAAAGAAATCTGGCAAGTCTCCTTTTAAAAGCAATTCTTGGAATTAATTTGCCTAGTTTGGAGAGTAGACAGCTTTCCAGGACATCATTTATCAAAGATTTTAGGGAGCTCTTAAATGCTACAAACTTAAGCATATGTAATATTGCCCCGTAACTCTTATTTGAGTTGAACAGAACTACTTGCACGGGGACTGCAAACCTCAGCCTTTTAATAGACCACTTCAACTTACTACACCAGAAGTAATTTTGGAAGGATCCTACCAGATGCGTTTTCTTTTCCTTTGGCATCTTGTGCAGCTTCATCTTCTGGGCAGGGCAGTCCTACGAGAAGGTATTTGTCCACAGGCATAGACACAGGACGTGCCTGCAAACTCTGGCTCGTAAGCCTGACAACTCCTTTGTCTTTCAGGTCTACTGGTTCAGATGCACTGTCTTTAATTTCAGTAGCTTCCAGAAATCCCATCTTACTTTTCTTTCTGCCTTTTGCTGGTGCACTGGCTGTGCGCCGGAGAATTCGATCGCCAATTGATCGCTTCCGTACATAGTGCCCGCTGGTTTCGGCAGAGCTGTGCTTAGGGTTCTTGTTAAACAACCCTCGGAGTCCTATCAGCTGCTTATTCTGAAAGAGTAAGAATAACCACAGGTTTGAGTGAATTTACGCTATTACATAATGAGTACAATGAAAAGAGCAGTTTTTTATGAATGATGAAGACAAAGTTAAAAATGCAGTAAAACAAAAATTCACACCAAGCAAGTCACATTGACTCCGACCGAGGAGCTATCATCATAGGTCCCCATGAATTCATGCATGTCTGTGTTTCTCCTCATTAGGATGGCAGCCTGCCACAATTACAAGAAAGGTTTGCCCAAAGTCTCCTAATCAGAGATGACAAGACTGCAAGAAGTGTGCTGCAGCGACAAGGCTCCACATTAACTTGGAGTTTTATGCATGGGCTTCATCCAAGCAATATTCAAATGTTTCAGAGTCTGAATGAAGAATGATGCGAGTTTGGCAGTAGCAGATCATGCAATTAGGAACCATTCGAGAAATCTGTGCTCAGCAAATGCAAAGTGCATGCTAATGAAGTCTACCTTGGTGGCTCCTAAAAAGTGCAATATTGTGTAACTGGGATTGAGGATTAAAGGGCTCCACTGAAAGGCAAAAAAATGCAAATACATTTGGCTAATGTTTTCAACAAGCAAATAAGGTAACAGTACACCAGCTGTAAATATAACCACTCTACAGCAAACCACTTAAAACTCTTTATTAATCCCTTTTAGAAACTTGACCAGATATCCCCACTTATAAGGATGCAAATGTGCATTCAGCCTTTTTTTATTCATTAGAAGCAACAATACAGCTCATGATTAAGGCAAGCATTAGATGAATAGACTAAACCACAATATAGAGATCAAATCTCAATGGGTGTTCCCTACTCCTCCTCCTCCGTTTGTCTTCCCTGTGAGTTACTCTCTACTATTTTTCTTGAGTGGATTTCACTGAAGAGCACAGAGCCAAGAGCAATCCCCAGACAGGCTCCCCTACAGACTGTCACCAAAATGATGTGTTTTCACACCCAGATGTGTGCAGATCTGGGTATGTATTGTAGATGCATTCCAAGGTGTTTGTTCCTGCTTTTCTTTTTAAAAATTAGCTGCTAAAAATAACTTATCAAATACTATCTTGTGGTGCAGTTAAAGTTCTCAACATTTACTTCTAAACCAAAATCAGTTCAACACACTGAAGAAATGTACTTACTGTATCTAGAGGTGATAATTATTAGGTGCTAACAGTAAGGACATTCATAAGTACATGCATACTAAGACTGGAGCAACAGTATGTTACTAATTTGTTTCAACTTTATTACTGATCAGTGCCAGAGAGCCAGGTACTGCTAATCCAATGCGGCATTCAGAACATCACAAAACTAAGCTGTAAGAATGATTTAGAAACCACACGAATCCTGTGAGGTTCTGTGGTACATTTAGATCCATTTTTATCAGAAGAATTAAAACAAAAAGACGTCATAAGAGATGTAAATTACCAGATATACCTACCTTTCCATAGATCTCATTAATGGTTATATGAACAAATATGGATGCTTCTGTCAGTCCTTCTAAATACACATGACGATAACCTAATAAAACAATAATATCACACCACAAATAAGCAACTGTTTGCATTTTGTGCACAACTAGCAATGACCATCTACAAAAATGAAATATATTCATTAAGTCACCTTATGTCTTTAGTAGAACTTATCTTATGTCCCTACAGGTTTTCTAAACCTCCCAGCACAAATTGCCTCCAAGTTATAAATAAGATATCAGTAGCAATTTCCAGAAGCACAGACACTCAAACTCCTAGAAATGGTGAATAAACCACTCTAAGATACCAGGAAAATTGTCCAAGCTTGTACAGAAAGTCTCAGACACAGGCATATACATCCTGCATAGATAACCTCATCCTCAACCCTGAGTTCAAAGCTGTTTGCTCTCCAGCAAAATGTCTAAGCCAAGCAAACAAGCAGGACTGACCAGGCACAAGGCTGCTAAAGGCCAGAGTTCTCTGTCCAACAAAGTCTCGCCCAATAGGGTCATGGTCCCAGACAAGAAATCGCACCAAGGCTATTTCAGGCATGTGGATGGTAAAAGTCAGTGTTTCCTCCCACACAGGATTAAACCCTGTAAAACAAAGAGAAATTTTGGGAAAAATAGTCCATAGTAAGCACTAGCCTCTATTTTCATGACGCACAGCAAGAGGCACAACAAACAAGCAGACCAAATACACAGATGAACACTCAGTCCTTATTGCCCATCAAGATCTAGGCACTCTCAATCTTCATTATGTAAGTAATTAAAAGTGAGAAATCTCTTGGACTGCTTTTACAAACACAATGGTCCTGGCTGGGCAGCTGGCAGGGATATCAGAGCAAGCTGCTGTTCTGCAGGACTATGGTAGGTAAAAGATGGACCAAAACAAAGAACTGCTCCCTCTGCTAAAGATGGACCAAAACAAACAGGAACTGCTCCTTTTTCACCCCAAGTTGTTGCCCACTGCCCACAGGAACTGATGGGCACCTCGCCTGCTGCACCAGACTGTCCCACTCTGTCATCCATCTCCTTCCCATGAAGGCTGAGGTAGCACTGAAACTGCCTAGGACATAATTTGCTTTCAATTCATCTGAAGTTATACATGTATTTTATATAAATAACACCAAAAACATATTTGGAACTTCTGCATAAAGGAGATTCAGGAATGATCCAGGAGCAAGACACTGTGTTGAAAAGTTCTTGTCCTTCACCTCTTGCTCTTCTGTCTCCCTATACCAGAAATTCTGTCTAGAAAGCAGAATTTATTTGGTAAAATACAATCATTTGATTTCATCAGGTAAAAAGCTTTGCAATTTAGAAAGTAATAACAGATACTGAATCACTTATAATGACTTGGTATTTGACTCTAAGAAGAAGAAATCAGCTATATTATCTTACCATTGTCGTCAACCACCCTGGTTTGGTCTTTGCAGCAGTCAACAGGTAACCCAATAATTTCCACCTCAACAAAAGGATCTATTATCTGTTTTTTTTAAAAACAATGTATTTTAAAAGCAAGCCAAAGATACAAGTAATGGTCAAGTTTTAAGGAAATTAATGCAGAGAGTTAATTCAAATTCACATGAGAATTCAAAAATATTTAATTCACATGAATTTTCAAGCAGCATAACCATGAGAAATGGCTTCATGAATTGTAAGCTGAGGTACAGTTTGTAGTCTCAAGAGCGATGGCCAGATATGACTAATTTTCAAAAAAGTTGTGTCATCCTCAAAATACAAAGCAAACTAGTTCTTAAATATCATGTGTAGGATACAGACTTAAATTCAACATATCTTACCTCTCCTCTGTCTCCTAACATTGAGTCAGGAGGCTTAGGGAGCTGCTGTCCACTGATGATTTTCAGAATAAGCTGTTTTTTAGGACTGGCAGGAAGTGGATCAGCAGAGTAGGGGTTGAACGTACCTAAAAGATGGCAAGGAATTAGAAGTGTCAGGAAAAAGCAACACAGAGTAAATATCACCCCCAAGATGCAGACATATAGCCAAAATTTAGCCATAATAAAGTACCTTGTAGAGTATGGAGCAGCTGTTAATGAATTTTAAAATCCCATTTCACTTTCTACAACCTCTTCTGAGCTGAGCAGCCCTTGTTTACATGATGACAAGGCAGAAAGTACTCCTCTAATAGCAGGGTTTTGCAAGATTAAGACTCATTTGAAAAGAAAACCCAAAACCTTTCTTCTGTAAAGTAGTAGCTTCAAGACATATCAATAATAATAACCCAGATCAGCACTCTGATCATGTTTCTTTCACAGCTGCCCAGATGTTAATGAGAACAAGCAACTGGGGCTGAGTAAGCTGCCTTCTGCAGCAGCAGTGCCTGCTTCAAGTACTCAAACTCCCTCTTATTTCTCAAGTACCTTTCAATCTGTGCCACTACTTAGAATGGTTTGGGTTGGAAGGGACCTTAAAGATCAGCATCTCCTCTTGGCCACATTAAGAAAATGAGTTAAGAGATACAGGGGCACCATCAGATCCCAAGTCCTCAAAACATGGAAAAACTGCCATGACATAACACTGAAAACCACAGCTGTAATTGTGTTTTTGGGACTGAACCAATTCCTTTCAAAGAGAACAAAATCCCACTGACTTGCTCAAGAGCTGGATTAAGTCCTGGACACTTGGTCCTGGGTCACTGCATACCGTGCTCTTCTTGCTTGCAGTTGGCTAGCCTAGGATGCCCTTTTCTTTTTTAAAACACATATTAAGATGAAGCCCTCAAAATGTATCTAAAATAACAGCAAGAGATTGTATGCTGCTACTTACACAGTCTGAGGGTGAGACACCATTTTTTGAGGACCAAAAATACATGGAATTCTGAAGTAAAATAAGCTTATAAATTATGGAAATATGACAGATTCTACATATGTTCTTATTTTTCTTTCTTTTGTCTTGACAACTTCATCATAAAGACATATTTCTGAAAGGCTTGAGACTTACAGTAGTAGATGCATAGCTGGACATTACCTTTGCACATCTGCTGAGGTTTCAGGACATAACCACAGTTGCCATTTACCCTAAATTTTGCATCATTTAATTGCATCACGCGGCCCTCAGATTGGTAGTTCAGTGCCACTGTTGAAAGAGAAGACTCAGGTGTAAAATATTTACTTAGCACACACAAAAGAAATGGGAATTAAGCTATCCATGCAACACCTACCTAACTGGCAACCAACGTTCCAGTAAGGTAGAGGATTGAAGTTGCTGGAGTCGATCCGGTAGGCTGATGGGTAGACCCTTGTAAGCTGCCTCTGGTTGTAAAGCATAAACTGCTCGGCCTTCTGCTGAACGGCTTGGTGGGCTCTTGTTTCACTGAACGACAGCACATTCCCTGTTGAGCCTGTGTGTGTTGTTAAACCAACAAACAAGTTACAAAGTGATCCCAGGAGATGAGGCCTGAACTCAGACTTCAGTTGGACCAGTACTGATCAAAGGGAACATCAGATTTAGTCCAAAGCCACAAGGACGGATTGTCTTTGTCACATGCAAATCACATACATGGCACAACTGAAGGGCACTGGTTTCCCCTTCCAGGAGGGTCTTTTGGGCTACCTTCAAGTTTCCAGACTTACAAGGAAAGCCAAGCAAGACCTTATGCTAATTGCCAGGGCCTTTTCTCCTGCAGATCACCAGACACGATTGCTATTAATGGCAGCGTGATCAAAACCATCGTACTGAAGAGATAGCAGTGTGGGGAAAGACCAGGAGGGCTCAGATTTTGCTCTTGTCCTTGTAACACATTCAAAGCTGCACTCAACCCATTTCTCTCTCTGAGGTTTCTGCACACTCATCCTTTCTCTAAATAATCCAAGCAATCTTTTCCAATGTCTTCCCTCTGAGCATTTTATCCTCTTAAGCAGACTCTATTTGACCATCTCTGAAAAACAGACTGACCAAAAGAGTTTCCCTAGGCAACAGTGCTCAACTTTGGGGGATCAGTTGGACCAACCCAACTGTACCATCTTTCCATGCCCATCTCTTCAGGAAAGCACAACATCCAGAGGAAAGGCAGCTGCAGAACTGTGTTCTGAAGAGCAGACCCTTCTCTCCAGAGGGCCATGAGTTATCAGATGGTTCACCTGTACCACTAACCACAGCCAGACCTGCGGAAAAACCTGAGCTGTCTCAGCTCAGTACAACAAGACTGAAACTCCACGGTACCGTGTTCCTGCAGGATATTTTGGACTCTGTTTCTCCACAGTGCTTTCAGGCTCCTTAATTTCTCTCATTAAATTCTATTAAATTAGGAATTAATTTTATAGTAATTACAGAATTTCACACACAGTTTGTTCATGTACATTTGATGGCCTTTCCCACAAATTCCTCTGCAACTTTCACAATTTCCATTTTGCTTTTAACATGTTTGGTGAAACAACTGCACTCTTTCTGAACAGGGATCATATTTATCACAATTAAAATCTATCACATTACTAAATTGTACTTAAAACTGATACAGTTAAAAGAAGACATCAAATTCTATAAGACTGTGAAAAGGAAAGGGTTCTCCTGAAAAAAGCCTAATTTTAAAAATTGCTACTAAATCATGAATGTCCTAAGAAGCCAAGGGAAAGGATATTTCCTAGTGAAGGAAAAAGGTGGTGTTTTACTCTTTCTCCATAGTTAAGTAAAAGGAAGAGGCAACCACTCTGCTTTTAAAACATCTTTCAAAATTAGTGCAACGTTGAAAGCACAGACATGCTTCCTATCCAAACAGAGGAGTGAGGAAGGTCCAAGCCTTGTGCCTGCAGCCTTACCGTCATCTACCAGATCCTGGGCTGCCACTGAGTTTGTGTACACCACGAGGTCAGACAGGGCTCGGCACAGCTTCACTGTTTTTCTTCGACGACCCAGTCTGCTGAAATATATATAATATATAAAACAAAGCGAGAATTTTCAATATTTAAAGCATATTTCAACCACCTTTTCTGTTCTTTTCACCAATAAGGAAATAAACAGCTGTGAACAGGGAACTGTATGTGGCAGACTCCCTTATAGAGGGCTCCAAGATGACTGCTCCCCTTGTACCTCTATAGTCACAGTACACTAAACATTTTTCATTTAAAACACAATTAAATAGCTGCACCATGGCGTTTCTCAACAAAAACAAGGCAGGCAGTTTTGAGCTGTCTGAAAACAGAATGTTTCAGAGACAACAAATACATTCTCAATGGCACTTTCTGATTGCTTTTCTTTGCATTCTCAAATGTAATAAAGTTGTCTGGACTGTGATGTATCCTTATTTAGCCTAAACACTTTTCTTTGAGCACTGTTTACAGCAGGCGAAATGCAGATTGGCATTTTCCCATTAGAAGAGCATTACTACCACATTTCTGTTCAGTTTAAGAGTAACTGTGATTTCAGACTGTGAAAACCTACACAATCAACATATCGGGCTGCAGCAGTCCCAGCAAAATACACCCCAACAGCAGCGTCATACACAACCTACTCCTACACAGAGTTCCCTGAGGCAGCGACAGGCAGATCCTGACGGCAGTAACACGCCTCTGGCTTTAACTGAGCTGTAAAACTCTGGTGATTCACAGCACACCTGTGGAGCTGCCCCGTTTCCTTTCCTGAAGGGTTTTGCTGGCTTTCTTCATCATCTGATGTGCTATGGTATTTGGCTGCTGCCTTCACAGCTTTCTGCTGGGGAAGAAGAAAGCAGAGCTGTGTCAGGTTATGGCTTGTTTCTACAAATTCACATTACTGTCATTAACACCAGGCGGGTGGGTGAGCTGCAGCAGGTTTGCAGAAGAGGAGCAGTGTCCTACAAGGACGCAGGATGACCCCTGGGGGTGTGACAGCAGCAAACCCTGGGTGGTACATCAATGTTTCCATCCATGTGGAGAAGGAAATCCTACACAAAGCATCTGCTGTCACTTTGACTCCAAGGATGCAAGCCTGCAGCTGTGGAGCAGGTTTACCTGCGGGCTACCAGACAAATTATGTCTGCAAGCTGGCCAGTCCATTGCAGGCCACTGCGTCTTCTACAGCTTCCCTCCCCTGCTGCCTCCTGACGTGAGGACAACATTGCTCCACTATGGCTGGGGGGGAAAAACTAATAGCTCATATCATGTTTAACAAACATCTATAGGTACAGTGCATTGCTTACACCTACCTATGCTTCCCCCCCCCCTCCTCCGAGTTAAGAAAATTTAACACATTCATTTGTGAAGGTGAGAACAGAGTCTAGGCAAAAATTTCAAACATCATCTTTCTGGCTTTTTGAGCCACACATACAAGCATTCAAATTATTCTAAATCATTACAGTATACAGTACAGAAAATAGCTATAATAAAAATATTAAACTCTCAAAAGCAGTTTTTTCATAAGCACCTATTATTTAATACAGTTTCCAATTTCAACAACATTACATCTTTTGTAACACTAACTACAGCTTCAAGTGAGAGTTTTTCATTCCCTTCTCATCAAGAGGTAATTAACGTAACTGAGAGCTCCTTATCCTTTTGCTTATATGGCTAATTGGACACAGATTTCTTTTCTCCCGCTGTGCACCAATAATGCACATAATTTAGTTTGCTGTGTTCAGTGCTGCAATAAAGTTGACTCTACTGGAAATCACTGGCATGGTTCAGTTCTGTATCCAAAGGTCCAGACTGTGGATGTTTCCTGCTGTTAACTTGCAGGAATTGTGAACCCTAGCATCTTTGTCCTTCTTTGGCAGTTTTTAAAGACTTTATATATGGATGTAGTTGGCACAACAGCCAGACAAACACATCACTGGTCAATATCCCTGTGTGGTTAATTCTGTACCTGCAAAAGTACCAATAGTAACCACCCTTCCCAGGTATCTTTTTAGCTGGAAAGGCACAAGGGGGAACTTATTGGACATCTCTGTTGCCTCAGTCTACAATTCAATCACTATTTTAAAATAAAATCTATATATATACTCTGTCTTATTTTTTTCAGCAGAGATGAAACAAATGGGTTTTCCAACCTGCTATATCCATTAGGATAACTAGCTGAAGTAATTAAATTATCGACATACTTTCCAGTCCTCAGTGTAAGCAGCAGTTTTTAGTGGCTGACTTTTGTCTGTGCCATTTCATTCCACAGCATTTGCTTTCCCATAGGTGACCACAAGTTACAACATGAAGTGTCCACTATCATGCACAACAGGTACCTGCAGATTTCACCATGCACTGAGGGAATAATGTGCACTTAGCTAAAGCTGCTGAAAGAAATATGACCACTTTGAACATATGTAAGCATATAATGGAAGTGTAAATATGAGTCCTGGTATTTTTGATGGCTCCTAGCTGGCTTCAGGACAGATAAGCCGGTGACTGATGAACTCCTATGAAGTATTAAATTGCCATTTTTCCTAAACTGCTGTTCAGATTATCAGTTACAGAGTGTGCTCCATGCCCAGCTGCAGCTTTCACGATGGCTAGTACTGAAGCAGATACAGGCGGCCAGCAGCTGGGGGCAGAGGGAGCCACTGGTGGCACCGTGACTCAGCTGCAACTTGCCACATGCCTCTCATGATGAGCTTATTGCTTGTTTACTTACTCATCTGCTAATTGACTCTGGGAAGAAGGAAGAATCAGTTAAATCAGCTCATGCTGAGGCTCCACATTCAATACATCCAAGGGAGTGTGGGAACAGGGCAGGGGGTAACAGGAACACATTTGTCAGGATGTGGGAATGGGAGGAAACGTGGGTGTGCTGTCCCTTTTGGTGGCTGCTGTCTGTCCAGCTGTGAAGTGAAACCTCACCATTCGTTTGAATTATATCAGCTCTTGCTTGGTTCAATAGAGCCGCCACAGTAAGACCCAGTGAAGCAGACAATTAGTCCTACCAGCTACATAAACATATAAATGCTACATATGAAACCATGAAGAGATCAGAACACATTTTCACAGTAGTAAATATACCAAGTGTAACCACGTAGACTTTCCTCGCTGCCCCAGACACACTGAGCAGCAACATAAACCCAGCATGTCTACAATGCTGTCAGACCTAGAGCAGCAAACTGAGTCATTTTACTTACTCTGTGTTTACCGAAGTTGCCCATTAATGATCGGCTATGAGACTTTTTTCCACCTTCTTTTGTGTCCAGATTCTGTGCAGAAAAAGTGCAATAAAAAGTGTAACTAGAGACCTTCAGAAGTATCTTTAAAGAGTCTGCTGCAGTCTCTAAAAGACATAGTTTCAACCTAACGTAAGTTCTTTTAGATTCACTATTAGAAAGGTACAGTGATTGCAAGTGAGAATAAAAGTGAGTTAAAGTCTAAACAGAGCATACTGATCTGTGAACACCAACTGAAAGCCAAGATCTCACTACAGGACTTTTCTCATTTCTTTATATCCTTGATAGCTTAGCACTCCTCTAACGGTAAGGAAAAATACTGACATTAACACTCAAGACAACAACCAACATGTAGAAAGAACAGCCTAGCAAAAATAGGCAACAAGCAACAAAACAGCATCTGAAAGTGCACTTGAAAACAGCCACAAAGGAAGAGGTATGGTGGTGGGGGTATGGTCTTCCTAACAGACAAATGTGGACTTCCCACAGGCAGCCTCAAGTCCAAGTTTCACATTAACAGCCATGCCCCTACACACCAGTCTGAGAATTCCTGGCAGCATCTAGCTTCTTCTGTCAGGAAAACACATCCCTTTATCTCCTAAAGAGCAAAACAGAGACCTAAAGGTGCTGAAAAATCTTCCCCCAGCATTTCAGCAAGTTCAGTGAACTCCAGCTTTTCCCTGTTCAGTGCTGAGCTGGAGTTCACTTCTGACACTCACAATGGTAAGGGCACCAAATGGGCTCTTTTGGCACAAAAATGTCAATAACCTCTGCACCTACGCTCAGAGATTTGGTCCTAGCTCAGGCTGAAAGGTTCTGTAAATTGTAGAAGGAAACCTTAGCAGATAAAGCACTTTTTCTTCCTCAGATAAGAGTGAGAGCTGACAGTTTCAGCAGCAAATCCAAACCAGCATCAGGCCTGACTGACAGTGCTGAACACATCATCTTCCTCCCTCACGCCTCAAAAAACTTACTTGGCAACTACTGAAGATTACTGCATAAACCTGCATTGTGAATGTTCTTCTTTTTAAATAGCGAGTCTTTGGGAAAATGAAAGGCACATCAGTAACGAAGTAAAGGAAAATGAGGTTTGACCAGCAAAAAAGCAGAAAAATTTCCCAACAGATCCCGTTCTGGTACATCAATTACCCAGTAACTACCAGAAAAAGAGCTTTACAACACCACCAAACAAAGCTAGCTAAAGATTTACAGAATTACCAAACCACCCCAACATTTAACTTTTTAGTTTCCTTGTATCTAGGTCAACAAATTAATTTTCCAGTTGTTTTAAATTATTATTACTAATTGTTCAGCTCTGTATTGCTTTAAGACCTTTGAAAACAAGTCACATACAATCAGGCTTCACAAAGGACTGTTGTGACAAGGAAAGAGATCTCTAAATGTCCCTTAATAATCTAAAATAAGGCAATTAGAAATGTCTATCACTTTGTAATATTACCCGACAGATGTTTGAATAACGCACTTGAATGACTGAAGGATTTCCAGTATCCTGGTCGCGTCAGTGACATACACTGAGTAATCTTAGGCATCATATCCAACACAACCACCTTATGGACATTTGCATTCTTTAAAAAAATAACTCCCTGCCCCCTCAAATGCTATTTAGGGGCCAATCATTTTCCAAATACCAATACTCTTTATTGAGGTAATAAAAATTCCAATATATTCAGCTGTTTTACAAAAATAGTTTGATGTCAAAAGGGAAAACAAACATACAATTCTTGATATAAAACAGTCTGGGCACAAAAATCAGAACCTTGCTTAGGGCAGTACAAACAAAATCCCATGTTTTAATGCTGTGCACACCACCACTTTGGGTTATGTGCAATATATACTGCATTGTCTAACACTGAACAGAGCATGCAAAAGGAAAATACTCCACATACCTGTTTCAGGTTAACATTTAAACCCTCGTGAGTGGCCCTCAACAGAGCTCTCACAGTGAAGCTGTCGGGATCTTCTTTGTCCCTGATTTGGGATTCTTTTATCAGAGACTCCAGTTTTGTTCTTATAAAAGATTCCACCTGGTGCTCAGTTGCACCATTACTCTGAAAGACATGAAGAAATCCTGTTAAAGTAGATCATTACATCCATTACTTCTGGGACAGCCCAAGGGAGCATTACACACACTTCAGGCCATGCAGCACTCCCAACATCTCCTTTCTCTGGGCAAGAAAAAGCTTCTTGCATAATCCAGCTTTGGCCTTTCTAGTGGGGGCTTTTACTGCCATTTCTGTTTTCATTTTTTCCCTTCAGTCCTCACAATACACAATTTACCCTGCCTCACCAAAGCACAGTCCAGCATGCAGATCACCCCAGAACATGGGCCTGAGGTTAGGCTCTGTTTCTCAGTCACAAGGCTGACCTCCTTTTTCAGAAGACAATACGAATCCTCAGTTAATGAACTGCCACACTTCCCCCAGAATACTACATCACCTAAGCATCGTTAGATTTCTGCTCCAAACAGCAAGACAGAGAAAGCAATTACTGTTAACAACAGGCGTATGGACTACACAGACAGAAAAAAGTCTCTTACATAAGGTGTTTAAAATAAAAGTGGATGCTACAGAACAACAGTTTGCCCTGGCGTTCCTCTGTCCATGGAGTGTGAGACCTCACCTGAAACAGGAGAGAAAATCCGACTCCTCTGTCCTAGCACGTTCCCCTTCTAGCCCAAGGACATTCTGTCTTGAAGGACTGCCAAATATTGTCTTAGGCCTTCATGTTGAAAAAAGTATCCCCTTATCAGAAGTGCTCAAGCCACATTAGCAAAGCACACGTGGATTACCCAGATGCTCCAATTGAACAGTGTGCAACTACAAATTAGACACTATGTGGGTTCAGAACTGCTGGAGCAATCTTATCTCCTCTTACTATACCCATCATTAGTTAAATTTATTTAATACATGCTTTTTCCCCTGAACTTACACCTGTTGAAGTTGGGACCTGTAATTAAAACAACCACACCCCTAGAGATCTATGGGATTGGGGGTCTTTAAGTTTCCTCATAAATTAGATGATGCCAAATATTTCCAGTTCTGTAGCAAATAGTAACAGAAATATAACATTCTGAGTCATTGAGCAAGCTAATTTTATCCCATGCCTCAAGCATTTACTACAAGGCTGTAGTTCTGTATGAGGCTGTGCTGTGGAACACAGCGGTTGAAAGAAACCCAAGTGCAATCTAACCTCTAAATAATTAAGAAATTAATTAATCGTGATTCTGTCCAGTAGCATAAAGGGGGTTTATCAAATCAGTCCCTCTGTGTGGTATACTTGAATCTCCAAAAAGCTGTTTCTGACAAGTTTTTTCACAGCAGCACAGGGGCATAACCAGCATACACAGATGTTTCCTCTGAAAAAGTTCAGTTGGGGACTTCTGTGCCATGTAAAGCAAATCTCAAGCTGTTCCGAAAAACCTTTAATTGTCAATAGCAGGCAGAAATGATACAGACAATTTAAAAACTCAATATGCAAAACAAAAGCAGTTAGTGAGAACTACAGTAGGTGTATGTGTGGCAACAAGGCAGGCTCACTGGGCTACATTCAAAAGTAGAGATAAACATGATACTTGTTACATAGTAATTGAATTTAGTCTATTCTTTCTGCATCTCCTTAGTATTTATTGGGTTCAGAAGTTTTAACTGGTGAAGCAAGGCTGCCTCTTGACTAGAAAAAAGCACCTGCTAGATAAGGTGTATTAGCATTGCACATGAGCTTCAATTTTTTTGCAAAACAAAAAAAAATGTATTAATAAAATTAACAGCCAAAAAACAAATGAGAAATTAAGAAATAAAGGAACAGAAGGCAATCTTCAGTGTCAAAGGAACAGAAGGACTGAAAATAATCATGTTTTACACCTTTTTTTCATTTCTACGTTTCCTTTCATAATTTTAATCTAAAAACTGCACAGCAATTCCATCATGCCATTGCTCTGACTACTACACATCTGTATGTGAAAAAATCCCAGCATGCTAACAGTGCTGGCATCAATATTTTCAGTCCAGTGTACCTAAAATACTTCAATCTGTTATTTATATTATTCCAATGACAAAGTGTACATTTCCCAACAATGTCATTCCATATCTACCTGTGGAATTATATAATTTCTGTATCTTAAGGACTTGACTTAAAAAAATCAAAGTTAAAAACTCCAATCTGCTAACAACTATGAACAGGATTACAGAGCATGTGTGTAAAGTGTAGAGATGTAACAGTTCTGGGAGCTGTGTATGTCCACGTACATAGCAAGGCTTTAACTTGCAGTCATCTTCAATCTCATCAGCGCTGTCCTCATCTGAAACTTCTCCTTCTTCAGCATCTGCTCCAAGACTGTATGGCAGCTTTTTACCCTAAAATGAGGAAAAATAAATGCCCATGTAGTCCATGTTATGTAGCGCAAAGACCAAAATAGCCCATTCCTCAGCTATTCCTTATGTAAATTGTGACCAGAGCTTAGAATTTGTTTTCAGAGTCTCATGCAAACTGGCTTCAGATTATCACAGGTGATAATTTAACTATTTCTGGAAGAGTTTGTTACCGCAAGCTCTTTCATAAAAAGCAAACCATCTCCCACCTCTGTAGCAAGCCAGCAAGTGTCCAAAAGACATTTTTTAATTGTCTCCCAGCTACTTCAGGCTTACCCTTAGCAAGCAGACTGTTTTAGAGTTTTATTTTCAGTATACAAATCAGAAGCTGAGATTTTGTTAAAGGCTCTTCATCAGAATGGCAAATGCAGACACAAAAGAACTTGCTGCAAGCAGTCTTCAACATGAAGGAAGCAGCAAAGCCTATTTTTATATTGCATGCTCATGCAAGAGTGTAGCCAGCAACTGAGAATTAGTTGCTAATCTGTACTGCGAATGCCATATACCTACATCAGAAAGGAACTACTTTAGTTCCATGTCTAGTTTCCAACATCTGATTAATGGTGAGCATCAAACAGGGGCAACTGGCTACTTCTGGTAAAAAAAAAAAAAAAAAAACCATTAAAAAAATAAGAGGCTCCAACAGATTAATTACTCTTTTTAGAGCATTCATCTTTAATTCTCCTTATAGCAAAGCCCAGCCATGGGTACCTTCAAAATGCTGGTTATGGGGCCTCTGAAGGTCTCTGGTTCAATCTCGCACCAAAGGAGGAACCTCAGCAGCTCCAGACGAGCTCTGCTTTGAGGAGTTTTGCAAACCCTTGCCTCTTGCTTTACCATCTGCTCCTTAATAAATCCTCTACTAAACTTGCATTATTACTTTTGCATTTTCCTCACTGATTGCAGAAACGCTTGCCATCTACCTGTTTCAGCAGTGATGGAGGTAGATAAGAATCGCACTCATATTTCTGCAGAAATTAAGAGGATTGATTTACAGACTCCATTTTGAAATTAATAATGCTGCCCTGGTAACGTGTGGGTCAAATTCACTTCACGCTGGCTTAAATCCATAAGTACTATTAGAAATACTCTCTATATACACTAGCAAGATGACAACTACGCCATTACTCGAAATGGTTTTGCTAATGAATCAATACTCTGTTGCAAAGGAAAATGTATAAAATGGTGCAAAATAATAGCAAAAATATGAGAAATTGGCTTACTTCTCAGCAAGACAGTGGTTGCTAAATATGAATATAACTATTACCATTTTCCAACAGGGCTGCTTACACTAAGCAGAAGATGGGAGACAGGGCTTTGGGAAAAGATACTGTGATGCTTAAAATAATATTCTTCTTTCTGAAAACGTTAGTTCAGCTCCACACCATTCTGTAACTGCTCACAGGGTTTCAGCACTGACACCTGAAGAATCAAACTAAGTTACAAACTCAAGTGTGCTCGGAAAACTAGCTCAAAAGTTCATGTGAGAACATCACAGTACCAAACCTCTTGCCTTTTGGTGAGCTGATGTAGTATTTCAAACCAGGTTTGCTGGGTTTTGTGACAGTACTGACATTATATACTGTTTTGTTTGTTCTCCACGTGCTTGCATAGCTCATTAACTGGCAGTCACATAAGAAAACTGATTCAGTGAAATTCAAAATCACAGTTGAGAAACAAAGGTTCCCTAATTCAGAGGCAGCTCTGTACTATACACTAGAATATGTTCAAACCAACACCAAACCAAAATTGTGGATCCCTGTAGCCAGCTTGATACAGAGGATAAAGGGGGGAAAAAAAAAGAGTATTTCAAGAGTTCACAGTGAAGTAATTGCCCCCATGTAAATTAGACAATCTAATAAGCCACAGCTCTACTAATCACTCTCTCAAAGGTTCTGCCTTGATTTCTTTCTTATTATATCCATCTTGGTCTCTGAAATCCTTTCAGAGCAAATAGTTTACACAGAGAGGCCCACACAATTAATCTTGCATCCAACACCAACTTCAGACAGTGGCTGTAAGGAGCAGTGAGGGAGGAGGCCTTGCAGGACTGAAGTGCTCTTCCTCCATAGCCACAGGTGGTGAACCGTGAAGTCTCATTTAGGAACTACTGCTCAGAGCAGGGCAAGGGGGAAACACAAGAAAACGCAAGAAATTCTCAGATGCTTTTATATTACTGCAGAATACTTTGTCCAAGGAGGATAATGTTGAGATACTAGACGGATATGAACCATACAAATATCCACTAATAACAAATTGTCTAAATAAAAAAAAAAAGGGGGGAAAAAAAAGAAAAAAGAACATACCAGGTTCAGGTAACTGTGTCACAGTTCTTTCTATTCATAACAATGGATTTTATCGATTTTTTTGCTCTGCTGACTTGATGCTAAGGTTTAAAAATAAACACCTCTGATTTTAACACTCTCATATAAGATGCTTAAGTAATAGAATTTTCTTTCCACTGCTGTTGCTATCACCTCCCTGTTGAAACAGAAGTGCTCTGGGACACTTGTCAAGTCCAAGGTAAAATCTGTTTCAATGCCTCTGCAAAGCTCAGAATTCTAACCCACTCGGTGCATCTGTACTGTTCCACATGGCACTGCTGAATCAGCTCTCCAAAGCCAAAGAAAAATCTATGACAGATATCACATGCTGACTCTTGTTGTGTTTTGCAAACACACGTTACCTTCACTAGGATTTTCCCTTTCAAATTTTGAGGGCTGGGCAGCTGCCTGGAATCTCCAGTGGTTACAGGTGACAAGTCCAGTTTGTCATCGAATATCTCCTTCAGGTACTGAGCAATCTTCTTTTGCTGCTGAATACTGCAATGGTTTTCAATAGACAATATCACTGGAAACCTAGAAAAAAAACAACAAAAACCAGACATTGCCATAACTGCGTCTTAAAAGAGAAGACCTGCACAGCTCACCACATGCACCGATTTAAGCAGTTTGCTTTTGCGTTGTCAGTACTCTGAAAACAACTCATTTTGGGAGGAAAGAATGTGCACATAAGCACCCAAATCCCTGCTCTGCACAGGGTCACAGAATTTCAAAATTATCATCACCAAGTGTGAGGCACAGGAAAACTTCCAATAAAGCTCAGCAGCAACACAAAGCTGTTTTGTTCTGTGTAGCTGAGAAAAGTTACACTATTCCTTTATAAGCATGTACAAAGTCTTGATAAGCTGTAAGTGACCAGCAAACTGCTCCTGGAGAAAAGCATTTTGAATCCAACAGATTCAAAGGAATTGCCAATTCCTCTCTGCTCATCTTCTGCAGATCGACAGCCACAGGGACCATTTGCCTTTGTCTTAAGTCCAGCTACAGTGAGTGACAGCAAACCTCTGAAGATGCCTAAACTTTGAAGAAGGGGAAATATTTGGCAATACTTTCCAGAATGCTCTCCCATGCTCCACGTTTCTTGAGCTAAAGACATTGTTTCTGTATATAACAACCTATTTCTACCACAAATTTGTACAGCAAGCCACAGCATCCTATGACAAGGAACCATACAGCCCAACTACACAGTGAATGAAGAACCACATCTTTCAGCTCTGAATTCACCAGCTCCTATTTCTAATCAAGAACACCACACTTTCAGGTTTTTTGTGGTGTGGGTTTTTCACCCCCTCCCCCACACCCATTCTTGTGTCACTTTTTTCCCCTTTCTTAATAAGAAGTAAGCATTTTCCATTTATTCTCTCTAAACTACTCCAAATTTGTATATCCACTCCTGATTTGAGATTGTTGTATAAATATGGTTAAACTCCATTATTTTAATAATAAATCGTTATATAGTACACCCTGGCAAACAAAATAGAATCTGAACATTACCTCACATCTCAGTACTTCTTCATACCACATATGAGACAGCTTTTAAATCTTCCTACTGAAATAAAGTATTTTCCTTGGAGAATATTATGATAATGATTTTTATGGAGAATTTCCCTGTGGATATGAGTGGGAAGTTCTGTTCAAAGGATCAAAATATTCTGTAGATATTTAACAGTCTCAGACTGTTCATGAGTTTACAATGCAAAGTTTATAAAGCCTTACTAACTTAGTTTGAACTTTCTAATCTGACTGATGGAAAGCTCATGCAGTTCTACAATAAATATGACACAGGCAATTAACAGAGGAACAGAACAATCTGTATAATTTCTCAGTATGTTTAAAGGAATATACGTTCCTGATATTGATTGTTGGTTTTGGCACGGGATTAACCACCCCAAACAGACAGGTGTAGATTCAAAACTGACTCTACACTTACTCATTTTTGATGAAGGCGTATTTATTGATGGTTTCTGCCACATCACGGAAGAGTATTTTAGAGGTAAGAGTATAGCCATGGTGCACTACTGGCTCTCCATCTGGACCATCCCAGCAATCCACTATTAAGAAAAGAAAAGCTGTGTATTAAGAGATGCCCATGATCTTGCTTGCCAGCAGAACTCATGTACACTGCTCAACCATGCAGGCTGATATACCAGCTGAGTTAAGACTAACAAGACAGTCTTTTCTCACCTCAAATAAGAAATCTGCAACCTCAAACTGGTTTTTCCCCTTACATTAAACTGAGGGTTTTTTCCCCCTACATAAAACTACAAAGGTCAAATAATGTTTACAGCTATCTCTTGGGAAAGCAGCTTCTGCTTCTGAAGACAAACTATTAAAAAACAATGTAGTCTTTTTCCACTCCCCATTAAACTTTCAAGTTTATAACTGATGACAGTAAAACCAGGACAGTAATATTTTCCTAATGAATTACTGTATCTTGGACTTACACCAAATTTACCACTGATGTTGCCAGGAGTTTACTACTGAAGTTAATCAGACATGCTTTAAGTTTGTCACTGAGTTTGTACTTAAAAGAAATATCCATCCCACTCTCACAACCATCACGTTACACTAAATCACACCTTCAATGCATCGACATCCATCCTGCAGCACGCGTGCGTACATCTCTGCCCTGGACTGGGACAGCAGCTGGTCTCCTGTCAGGTACGTGTTGTGAGAGGAAGCAATGAAGTAGTTACAAAGGGGCTGATCCATGTCCTGATGCACTTCGCAATGCAGAGGGTTAAATACATCACACACAGGACTGCGCATGAAGTTGGTGAAACCTTTGAACAAAGAGAAAGGGTTTTTCCACGGATGCAGTACATTTTACCAGGTGAATAATTTGCAATCTAACATTTGCTTTTTTTCTGTTTGCACTTGTCAGTCTCCAAAACTACTGAATCACATAGCAGGGATTAATCCTCCTGTACCCCACGTTTTCAGTATATTAACTGCTGTCAGTGCACACTGAAGAGGCTGCACAGACTCGGTCCACAGCTGGCACACACATAAGTGTGTGAAGCCTATGGAAGTTCTGATGCCTTTGAGAAGGACACATTCCCAGGATCCAACCCTTGTCCTCAGACAATTATCAAAGAGCTTTGAAATGGAAAAGCAAATATAATCTAGAAAGACATTTAGGACTGCCCAAAAAATCCCCAACCAAACAACAAGCATTGGCAAAGCATGGCATTAAGCTAAGCCTCTTCAGAAATTAATAAACAACCAATAGTAATAAAAGTAGGATTCTAAGAGAAGCGTAAAACTAACAAATAGCAGCTATCAGAGAAGACCGAAAAACTCCACAGATCAATATAGCCACTGCCCAACCTATTTTCAGATCAGAAGTTTCATTCAGACCCTCAAAAGGGGCAGATGACAAAAAAGCAGGGGAAAAAATTCTCTGAAACCTTGGAGAACCTCCCCACACCAAATCCAGTGCACAGAGACAAGCCTGTGTGCTGCAGCTGCCTGCTGCAGCTCAGACAAAACCACTCTGCTAATAACTGGAACAGAAGATGATGCTACTACTTCTGTTAGAACTGGTGGAAGAATATATCCTCCCTCACAATTATTCAGTGAGATAAAATGATTTGTTCATCCAGATGCTACTGCAAACAGACAGTACACAGCTAAACCATGAGTCATTACTGTTATAAAAACAGTCTTCTCCTTCTCAAACTGGTATTCCCTATCCTCTCTTGATTCTTGTTAAAGCATCAGGATAACTGAGAAATCGGATCAAATGCTTAGGCAGCATCAGGCCGCATTTCCTGGGATGCTGAATTGTGCCTTGGAGGGTGAGTGATCTGCTTAGAGGAACAGAGCTGGTGGAAAGGAGGGGACCTCAGAGTCAGAGGACACAAAGGATCTGAGCTGTGCACCATGGACCCTTGTGATGGTAACAGGCAAGAGCTGTCCTGTTCTGCTCCACCTCAAGTGTGATGTCTTGTAAATAAGAGGAAGCTGAGGAAAACCCTCAAATATTGGGCAGCAGAAGAGATGCAGGATATGACACCTGCAAGAATAAAGGCTTGGTGTTCTGCAGATCCGTCAGGACTTGTGCTGCTGTTAATGCCCCAGAGGTCCCAAGTGGAGATGTAATCTTCAGAAGGTACAGAATCACAGAATCACAGAACGTTAGGGATTGGAAGGGACCTCAAAAGATCATCCAGTCCAATCCCCCTGCCGGAGCAGGAACACCTAGATGAGGTTGCACAGGAAGGCGTACCAACAGCAACAAGAACAAAACAAAAGAACACACTCCTACCAAAGTAAAGACCTGACAATTTAAACAGATCATAGGACAGAAATGGGAGCCAAACTGATATCCTGGCTTGGGAGCAAAGGTTTTTGGGTTTTTTTGATGTTATCGCTGTCACTCAGGCTCCATCCCAGGGACCCTCTTTGCTGCACACAAGCACTGTTCCCACTGCAGACACTGTGTGGACAGGGCAGCAGCCACCCAAAAGGCTGCACTGCAGTACAGGGAGCAGGGGCTGTGCCAGCCAGTTCACCAATCCACACAACTCATTCTAGTTTCATTTTCTCAATGCTGCAAGTTTATGTGAGAAGGTGGTACTCGGTTTATAGCTATGTAAATCACATCAGCATTGAAGTTTCAAAAATATGTCCTTTGAGAATGAGAAACATAAAATATTTCCAAAGGAAAGTGCAAACAATACCAACCCTGAAAGCAACTCAAACATAAAAGCAGCAGCAGTAAGGTTAAGAGGAGCAGAAACGCCTTCAGAAATATATATATATTTTTTTAAGTGTCATAGCTTGTTCATTAGGCTTTCCTTATTTCAGTTTAAGTGCAGTGCCCTGGGTGATACCAGCAGCTTGTTTAAGATCTGGGAGGCTGTACCCAGGATTTAAGTACCACGCAGAGGAACATTTCTCCCCTAAAATCCCCATGTCAATTATGCTTCTTCATGGAAGTTATCTTCTGGGCAAATACACAGTTAGCAATAAATTCATGCAAGCCCAAGGCATTCACATTACTGTATGATGGCTGTGATGTATGGCTGTAAAACACTCTGCTAATTCACTCTCATCTCTCCCATGTTTCACAAAAATGCACCTAGGCTACGCCGATGATCTATATAACTATTGCGGTAAAATATTATAAGCTACACCAAAACACTGTTAAAGCTTTTCTATTCCACTACAGTACATCAAGACAAAACTAATTTCAAAATCAAAAACTTTACCTTCAATCCCAAGAACATTTTGCTTCTTGTTGTCTTCCGACACTTCAAACTTCTGTATGATGTCAAGGCAATACTCTGGCGTCACATTATTCATCTGCATAGAAACAACAGTGTTGGTGCGCTTATTTTTAATACCATGTCACCACTGTGCCAAAATCTACTTTAGGCTTCTAGGCCCAGCTGAAAACTCTTATGATCAAACATTAGTTTCAGTCAAATATGAATAGGACAGACAGTAACACTACTGTAAAAGGACTTTAAGTTTTTATTTTGTCAGTGCTGCACATACCTTATGGCTCTTACCTTGGAGGAGAAAAACAGAAGTGAGATGTAACAGTCACCTAAAAGCTGCGTCATTTTAGTTTAAAGATGAAAATTAGCCGTTAAGCACACTTAATTATTGTACTGGGCAATACTGCTGAGATGAGAACTATGAAGTTATATTCTTTAATATAATCTACTTAAACATGCAAAAAGATTTGGCAGGGTTTGATTTCATTTTCATGTCTTTTCCACTTCTGTGATTTCATTACTTCCCAGAGAGCTCACTGTAATATACAGGCTATGAGATAAATAATTTGACTCTGAAATGAAAAGCAGCAGTTCTGCTGAAACAAATAAGAGTTTTGGCATCAGCTTCAACGAGCCCACAACTGAAGTCCTGACCAACGAGCAGGGCCAGAGCATCACCATACACTTATATTTCCTTTAAAATTAAAAAAGTGGCTTCTGTCACTCACTCATCTTTTCTTACGCTTGCCCCCATTAATTTGTAAAGAACTATAATTGGGTATATTTCAATTCCTCCACTAATAATACCACAGGATGACAATGATGCCACTAAAACTTTTGGCAGCTTATTTGAACCATTAACCTGCTAACTCAAAAAAAAAAAAGCAACCCAAGACATGTCAACAATAGAAGTATAGGAACAGAGGGCAAGTGAGCAGTTCAACTCCTGAAGTGACTCAAGGTGAGAAATGGGAGGTATTTTCCAGCCTTTCTCCCCTTTCACAGAATCACAGAACGTTAGGGATTGGAAAGGACCCCAAAAGATCATCCAGTCCAATCCCCCTGCCAGAGCAGGAACACCTAGATGAGGTTACACAGGAAGGCGTCCAGGCGGGTTTTGAATGTCTCCAGAGAAGGAGACTCCACAACCTCTCTGGGCAGCTTTCCCGTCCCTCAGCTTTCTCTCTTGCACAAGGAGAGCCTATCTCCTTTGTCAAACATTGTATTTATATCTCTTGGCTAAGACAACAATATGAGACGCCTGCATGAATCACAGAGGATAACAGGAATGAGAACAATTCAGTAGAGAAAATAACCGATTATCCCAGCTCAAGTAGATGTTGCTGTTTGATTGCAAACACTATTCATAGCAGCCCCTTCTCTAGCACAAGCTGCCTAGAATCAACTTTTTCATTATCCCCGACGGCTCCTTGGCGGCTGAGTGGCACGGTACTTGTGTGCTTGAGGAACAAAAATGTCTAATCTAGGGAAACAGTCCCTGCATTCGTGCTTTTTAACAGGACACACTGATTCAGATCACAGCCTAACACATAGGCGTGCCCTGGCATTTACTGTCTCGTTATATTCCTTTAAAACTTCTTCCAAGAGAGCAAGTGTAGTTGTTTCAAAACATTAATTTTCTAAAACTGTACCTAATCCCCACTTAATACCACTTTGCCATATTTTCACTATTCACCACATCACTCATTATTCCTGTGATGCTGTAGAATTAGTGTAGACAAGCAGTAGGAGCAAACTTACTCTCTGAAGCAGGCTTAACTCAAAATACACTACCCCATATTGAATAATTAAGGAAAAACTTTACATAATTATATGTACATGTTCTGAGGGTGTAATTGTTATAAATTTACTTTCACTTCAGTACAATTAAAATGAGCAGGGGCATTATTTTTTGCCACCAGTTTCATCTGGGCTGCACACGGCAGCTGCTGTTTTTTAGAAGACACTGGTTTGGTACCAACACGATGGGGTAATAATATTAACATTTCCATCTGCTTCCCATCACTTGGGAGCTCAACAGGGCACACCAGACAATCATAAATATCGACAGGACATGCCATACAATCATAAAAATTGACAGGGCACACCATAAATATGCAGCACTTTCCTGGAGCAGGCAGAGAAGCTGCTGGAGGTGAGATCTCAGCAGGTTGTCCTTTACCTCAGGACACATAAAAGTGTATTGCAAAGTAACTGATCCATGGCAAGGCAGCAGGTGGCAAGCAGGCACATGGGAAACCTCACCCTCAGAATAACAAAACCAAACATTTCAGGTTTGTAACACCAAAGCAGCCTTGTAAGCAGGTAAAACCATCAGCAGAAGTGAAGAAGTGTCTGCTGTGGAAGCAGGCTGGCATACAACAGGAGATCAGATTTTGATGAAGACCAACTCAATGATACTGGTTTATTAAGAAAGGACGCTCCCAAAGGGACAACACTTGGGCACACAGACATGTCTGTACATCCAGGGGTGTTCCTCTCTCCCAGCCACTCGTGCTAAGAGGACTGCAGGACCAGGAGGCATCCCAGGAAACCAGCCTAATTTCTGCTCTTCTGACTTTTGAAGCCATATAATTGCTATTTCAATAGCAATAAGCTGAGTTTAACTGCACCTAAGTGAAAATAATCTGATTCGCAAGCTCTGGAGGGAAGGTAACAGGGAGATCTAAAAAAAAGCAACCAGCTTAGCAAGTTAACAAAAACCCCAAACCCTTTTGTTCTACCCTCAGGCTGCAGAATATTTAAAAGTCTTGCCAAAAGAGCAGCAGACGGAGCAGGACAGACTGTCCAGATTTCCACGCAGCCAGATGACAGCAAAAACAAAACGCTGCTTGGTTGAAAGCACCTGAAAGCTGCATTATGGTTTGAACCTTTATCAGCTTTTAAAGGCAATCCTGCTTTACCCAAGGACATTGTTACCATGTTTGTATCCTAAAAACATTAAAGGGTGAATCTGCTCTAACACTCTTAATACCAGGAAGCGGGAAGACCAAAGGGAAGAGGCAAAAAAAGTACAAGGTGCTCCTAAACTACACTGCTGAGAGGATCATCTACCGAAGATCACGCTTTTACTCTTTTTATTGGTTTTTTCTGGAATAACATTGAGCAGAGCATTTGTAGCCAACAGCCCTGTCTGCATCCAGCATTTTGAGCAGTGTGCAGACAGAGAAGATGCAATATCCCAGGCTTGACAACTTGTTCTTTCTGCTGCATCAGTGGTTTCATAACATCCTTGTGCACTCACAAAGACAGCTCTTCTGCCTCTCTCACATGTTTTTCTTACTGCCTGGGTCTCCAAGTGCCCTCTCATACCACTGCTCTTCAGCATCTCCATGTCCTCCAGAGCATTTCTCTGCTTCTCATCAGTGCCAATCGTGCTGCTGCTGCTGTCAAGGGTGCTCCACTGAAGGGCACCCAAGCAGAAGGCAGTGATTAAGAAGGAAACAAAGCAAAAAGAAGTGAGCTCAGCAGACTTAGGGCAATAACATAAAGGGAAAGAGATAAAAACATTTTGTGCCTTAAAGTTGTAATTGGCAGAAGTGCCAGGACCAGACTGCTTGCAAGAGTCTGTGTTGAGGCTGTCACAGCGAGCTCACTGCCATGATAGTGTTCCATGTTCCCAGGGGAAGGAAGGAAGAGTCGGGGGGGTCCATGCCAGGGAATTGCCACAGTGGCCAACGGGGAGAAATTCAGCAAAAAACCAGCACAGACTGTTGATATTTTATGCTAGGGATAACTCAGAAAAAGCAGCCATAGCAGGCAGGATCCCTGGCACAGGACGTTATCCAATGACTGCAGGCAAAACACAGCACCTCTACCCAGGACACTCATGAAGGTTGGGATGTCAGCATTTATCGTCATGAGGTTGTTTTGGAGCAATACTCTGCAAGGACGCATGAGGTGAGCAAACAACCCAGGGCCAATTGCCAGAAGCAAAGAGTTGTCCTAGAGATCACAAGGCTCTTTCTGTGCTCCTCACTGCCCAGAGTTTTCCCCACGGTGTCCACAGACAACTTCTGTAGTAATTCAGTTTCTTTCAAGGTGGGCACGAAAATCTCCACTGGAACAACATATGTAGGAATGGCTACAGATTTTTTTTTTTGTTCGCAAGTTTGTTTATAAGCACATCAGGGGAAAATCTTCGATCTTGACCCAGCGGTGCTTCTTAAGTTACTTATGCTTCTTTCCATTTTTATCTTTTACATTCTTTCTCCTTATTCCTGTATCTGTTCCTGCAGTTCTCACCCTCTCTGCAGGGTGACACAGGGTGAGAATAGCAGTGCCACCTTCAGAGGCAAAATCTTCTCTGCCCAAGTCTCACACATCTGTGAAGAAAGCCTGGAAAACAGACTTTCCTGAAGAAAACTGCGGAAAGAAGGTAGAAGGGGAAAAGAAGACAGAATCCTGGACACCTCGCCCTTGGCCAGGCTGGTACAATATCCATCTTTGCATTAGATCACAAAAGTAAAATCACAGAATCACAGAATATTAGGAGTTGGAAGGGATCTCGAAAGATCATCCAGTCCAATCCCTCTGCCAGAGCGGGATCACCCAAATCTTCCCTTAAAATTGTAAAAAAGACTTAGGCCACATTTAAGAGGTTGTTCTTTGTCAATATTTAAACTACTGCCTTAATAATAAAAGCAGCATCCTTATAATTACTACTAAGTAATTAAGCCATGCACAGGTGAACTATTTGTGGATAATCAGAAATAGTTTGCTCTTCTTATTTTGTCATGTGTTTCTAACTTTAAAACATATCATGTATCATCCCACATACAATAAAGCCTTTAGATTTCTTTTTCATTACATCTGTCCTTCCCCCTCACCTCAATCTAAACTTTTCCATAAAATTCCTTCCCTATCCTTAACGTATTAATATGTGTGTATATATATGGCTGCATGGTATTCCCATACCTTTTGTTCCACCTTCAGAAACTGAGCAAGTTCTTCCACGGTGAGGTGATCCTTCTTGTCGCTGTAGCTTAAAAGCAGTAAGTAGAGATCTCGACGTAAGGACATCATCTTGTAAAACACTGAAAATTCTTCAAAATTTAGGGTTCCTTGGTTCTCATCTGTGTCTGCTTCCTAGGAGGTAATAACACGCAGGTAAGCATGCAAAGCACAGGTGAATTCAGGGGAAAAAGGGAATGGGCTTACGTACGTGAAGAGAAATTTAGTAAATTCTGGTCTGCAAGTTTCTGTTCAGACTCAAATCCTAGTAGGCTAAAATAACTGCAAAATTATAATACCATCTATTAGATTTTTTTGGTGAAAACAGTTACTATGCTAAAGCCACAGGTTCCCCGTGAAAATCTCAATTCCATCTTTAGTTTTGAGCTGTTTCCCATGTAAAGAGGCTCACCCTGGGCTTTATTCTGATCTCTGTCACTCTCCTGTATACCCTACAGTTATCTTGGATTAAAACATAGCAAGAAACATAATAATTTCACCCTGTGGCTTCCTCTATCAACAGAGCCTGACATTTTAAAACACTCAGGACAATATCACAGTCTTAAATTCACGTTAATTCAGACTGCAACACTCTCAGCCCCCTGTCAGCACTGTGCAGGGGGGACAATTGCAGCAGCAATGACTCCACATCAAAACCTATGCTCAATAGCCCCAGTCTTGATGGCAGTTTTTGTTTATCCTCAGAGGTAGGAAGAGAAGAAAACAGTACTTAATGCATGTTAATACAAGCTTTTTACTGTGAACATCTGCCTAAGAGGATTGCTTTGGATTTTCAAGACAAAGAATATATTCTGGAGAACTGCTGTCAAACATTATGTAGGTCTCCATGAAAAAAGAACTTCAGGGAAGCTAAGTTTGATAAAGGAAACAAAGTGTTTCAACAGAAACAGAGTCATTTCATCGCCCAGCAGTGCCAGCACAGAACAATTCAGTTCACAGAGATGAAAACAACCATGCATTTAAAAAAGCAGTATTAATAAGTTGTCTTCTGTGTGGTTTTCATCATTAAACCTATGTTCTGATACATCGTTGTCCACAAAAAGCTAAGTCTTGGAAAAGCCTGAGGTGCTGGAAAGGACAGAGCTTTAAGTCCAACTCACAGATCTTATTCTGGATTTGTGCAGAAATGGACCTTAAGTGGCACTACCACACCACAACAATGCTGTGCAAGAGGCACCAACCTGAAACATCTGCCGGACCTTCCTGCGGGGCAAGTTCACATTCAGTTTGTGCATCAGCTGGTGGATCTCCTCAATGTTCAGGAGGCCATCGCCATTCTTGTCAGCCTCCTCGAAGGTCTGTTTGACCCAGCTACAAGCATGTCAAGGAAAGGCACAAGAGGGTACCACGTACGCTGTTACGAGCCCAGGAGCCTAAGTTCTGAGATACTGCTGGCCTTGCTCTGATATCTTCGTGCACTTCTCCCTCCATTCTGCTTCACCTTCTCCATGTTCTAACCATAACTTTTACTCACTTTTTGCACATCTATCCCTTTGCGCCTTTTGCTAAGCTCTCATTCTACCTGGAAGTGGTACAGGATCATTTTGTCTGCAGTCTCCCACCTGCCACATTTGATAACACAAGCAAGACTTGAAGTGATGTCTCACCAGTAGAGAACATACAGCAGATACGTGCAGTTTGGAAGAGTCATGGATAAATACAGCAAGCTATGTGTGGAACAGAGCATGCAATATATCCCCCAAATAGATCTGTGTCTATCTTGGCAGATATTAAACAGTAATTAAACACTGAAAATATAAATAAAAAATACCTGAGCCACGTACATTCTCTAGAAGGAGTACTTACAAGTGACCACTGTACGTTTCCATATGACAGAAGAAACAGATTACAATTTTAATCAGGATGGGCTTGGTTTGGCTGGGGTTTTGTTGGGGACCTTTTTCCCCGTTTTTCATATCTAACATACTAGCCCACACTGTTGTGAAAGAAAACACATCAAGAAAATGTTCAATAGATCTGATCTTTACCAGAAGTTCATTTGGTTACTAGGCTACACACATTTAAGGAGCTTTAAAGATTTGTGTTCCTGACAATCAATGGAGGCTGAGAAGTACAGACAGATATCTGGCATACACCAACCAAGAGATGGTCAGGAGTTACTCATCAGCTTACTGAAAGACTCCTGAAAACATGAGGATTTTACCTGTGCAGAGGCGAACAAATTCAAGTTTTCAATTAGTATTATCTCGGAAACAGTGTCTTCTAATGGACCTTGCATTTTACAGCGGAAGAATAAAAACGCAGTCAGGCAAACAGAAGATGACAGAAATCCTGAATTCATGCTAGGGTTTGTATTTATCGAGGTAACTGGAAATGACTGTTTTGACCCTTCAATAAGAATTTCCCTAACAAAATGCAAGACTATCGCCTGACTTCAATGCAATTTAATCCAGTCCCTAAGGCACAGCTGCCGTTTTATTGCCCAGATAAGTGTCCATGTCAAACCCATTACTTGAGGTTCCATTTTGGTCACTTAACAGGAGGTGAAGGGACCCTATGCTGAAGTCACTAAAAAAAAGAAACTCAGAGCTCTTGACTCAGAAGGTGCAGCTCAGGCTCCTGCAAGGATACTGATCATGTGTTCTCTGGCGCTTAGCAAGCGAGTCCTCATCGCTTATCCCAGCCATCAAGTACTTCAGCCCTGTTATCCAGGTGCGAGCCTCCTCGGGGTTAGAGGTAATGAGATCCAGTGACTCCATGTGGCTGCCGTGGTAGATGGTGAAGCAACAGCTTGGGCTGAAGTTCCCCTCAGCATGGCGGTGGAAGATTTCTGACTGCCGGCCTTCGGTGACTTTGTAAATGGAATCGATGACAACTGTAGGAAAAGGGAAACCAAAATTGACATGCTTGGATATCCACCCAACCTCTTTCAGTTTTAGCAAGTATGAATTATTTTGGCTGAGAGTCATTAAAGGTTTTTCAATTTTACAGCTTCACATCCAGAAGTGGGTTTTGATTTCTAGATTTATTCTTGCTTTGGCCATGCCATATACGTGGTGCAGTTGCCCCAAAGGCAGAGCAGTGCAGGCACAGCCAGGTTACAGCAAAGCTCTGAGTGCTCCCTGCTCCATTTTGGACTGTAGGTGACTCAAAAGGGAGAAGGAGGAGACAGACACCAAGTGTTTGCCATCAATCAGAGCAACACTGCACAGCTCCAAAGGGACTGTTCACACCATGACCATGCTTTGAGAGGGATTCCCATGGCTGTGTCAGGGTAACATGGCTCCCAGTGCCACAGCATGTAACAGTGACACAGTTCAACACAGCAGCTCTGAGCCACCACACACCATCCCAAAATAATCAACTGTCACTATCACTAGTTGCCTTCCCAACTGCTCTTTTCATCTCAAGCGTCCGTGGCAGTTCTGTGAATTTATAGTCCTTGTTTTAATCAATAAACCATTAATTTGAATTTCCAATTTAAAACAGTGCAGTAGGAACAGTTTCAATGAGAAATACTGTTACACAATAATGAAATACCTAAAGAAAATGATCACAGTTAAGATTAAGAAACCCCAATCTAAACTTATCTAGGTTTCTTATTTAAATTTGTGATGTATACATGGAAAAGAGCTCAGCATAGTTTATTACCGAGTCACTCTGCAGTTTGCTCGTAATTCATATAGACCTGTGGAAAACACTGACATCTGACTGAAGTACACTCCCCTTCCTTTCACAGTCCTGGACTTTCAGCAGGTGGTCAAACTCTACTCACACTCTCAAAAACTTTCATGTAAGTAACACATCACATTTAAAATAAGCATCAAAGAGCATTTATTCAATTGATCCAAGAGAAATATTGTTCAGTTTTTCCCTCTGTAATTCACATTCTAATACTGAACTGCCCAAGAAACTAAAAGCAATATTAAGAGTTTACTTTTTGCCTTTTCGCTTTTCCTGGACGGTCTCCATCGGATGCAGGTCCTGTGCTCATCCAGGTAGAAGAGACGAACCAGCCCCTTGGTTCCACTCTTCAGCTTAACCATCTGGGTCCCAGACTGCATAACACTCATGCATCTTTCAACTGCAAAGCAGAGCAGAATAAATTCAAGTAAACAGACATCCAATTCCACTAATAAAATGACTTACTGGCATTCCAGCATCTGCCAGGCATATCTATTTTTTTTCCTGACACCTTTAATTGCTGTGTAAGAGACACTACTTCTTCTCCACATAGAGGAAAAAATCATCTGTCAAAACACCTTCATGACAAAGGAAGCAAAGAAAACGTAACTATATATTGAAGGAAAATGTTTTATAGTTATTCCATGCCTACTTCCTTTAGATATTTTTATATTATTATACGTAGCACTGTAATTTTAAACCAATACTCTGTAAATTTTGAATGGTAAGACTCACTCAATCTCTGCATTCCTTTGGGCTTGTAATCTTTTAGTTTATATCTGATGCTTCTGACACTGTTAGAACTGTTAACAGAATTATAAATACACGATCCCTCCTCCCTACTACACACATTTACACCCTCTCCATCCTGCTACCACATTTCAATCACATACTGTGATGACTTCCTTTATCCACCCATCCCATCCGGGATAAGGCTTTGTTTCTCTATGTCTTGACTAAAATACACCCATGTCTTCCATTTCATCTCTCATCTTCTGTCCTATAGTTTTCCAAACACTAGGCTCAAGATAACATTTCCTCTTGATCTCAGTGTATATCCATGCTCTTAAGTTACTGTCTCCCATTTTTAACCATTCACAGCCTCTCCTCACATGATACCACTTCAAATCCTCCTCCCAGGTGATGTGTTTACGCACTGGCTGGCTCCCATATACCACCTGGCTCTGCCTTTATTTCTTATCATCCTCCTCCTCATCATCACTCCTCTCCGCAGCACTCCTCTGTTATCACAGCAAAGACTAAAACACCCTCCCACTCCTCTGGGCCAGAGCTGGAATGTATTTCATTTCCTCAGCTCCTGACATCTCCTTGGCTCCCACAGTGAGTGGCCAAGCAGCACAAGCAGCAGCCGCCTCGGCACCAGCTGAAACCCCACGGTGCTCCCTTGTGCCAGAACACTGCTTCCAACAGAGCTGCACAACCCTCAGGCCATCCATGAGAGGGAACAAGCCCTGCTACTCCTCCCAAAGCGCCTCCGGGTCAGACGCAGTCAGAGCAGCATCTTAAACACTGGTCAAACACAGGACAAGCAGCCCAACTTCCCCAGCTCCCTCACACAAAGGCCTTTTTGTTAGCAATTCAAACCCTACATCAAATATCTGCATCAGAAACAATGGTTTTGCCGAGTTGGTGTCTGTCTTGGAGGAATGGGAGGACTCAGGTGGAGCTGAACAGAATCAAACTCTTCTGAAAGCATCATATATGTGCATGAGTGCAATGAATTTGTCCTTTATCATGGCCATAAATGTATGGCCTTCCCTGCAAATGAATAGGTGGGTTTGGAAGTGCTTTAAGAAAAGTGACATCAAACCAGAAATAGATGTTACAGAGCACCCACATGTTGATTGTGGCAGTTTTAACCTCTATCTGAAGATGCACAAACTACCAGGAAGACAGAGGGATGGAAAACTCAGAACCTTAAAGAAGAAAAAAAATAAAATTAAGAAGCCTCTAGAACTTCCTGCCTAGGTACATACATGAACATCCTCTCTTGGCACTGAGCCTTTCACTTTGCAACCAAGTTTAGATGAAGTTTGCCCTGGATTCATACCTAACAAACAGGAATCATCCTCCACCACAGAAATAAGGCTCTCCACAAGAAAAGGTTGAGTGGATACGCAAATGTGAACTATTACATTAGCCTGGCACACAAACTGCAGGCACATTTTTATTTCCCTATTAGAGTGATAGATTGCAACAGGGTTTTAGCTCAGGAAGAGGCTTAGCAATGAGCAGAACAGCAACATAGAAAAACTGCTTCTTTGCACCTAAGCCTGTCTGTCATTAATAAAGTCTTATAAAACCAACTAATTCTCACATAAGTCTTTATTATCATCAGCTTAGTTGTCATAGAAAAGAAATGGTTTCACTAAGATGATGAGGACAGCTAGCAAAAGGCAGAAGAGGACTACATTTCTCTAATGTAAGACAAGCAGGCCATGCTCAGATAATTACAGCCAACAAAACCATGGGGAAAAAGAGGAATCGTAAAAAGCAATGCAGTTTCTTCTTCACTGTTTCTATTGCCTAAATATTTCTGCATCACATTTGTAATTGTTATAGATGCATTTCACATCCACATTTCCAGATAGACTTCAGAATAAAAGTAATATGGAATGGATTTTAAAACACTTTTTTCACAAATAGAGAAGAGTGGAAAAAATCTGGTTCCTGCCAAACATCTCAACATCGCCGATTTCTCAGACGCTACCTGCAGTAACTCCAGTGCCCAAGGATGCACCATCTTTTCTGCTTGCACTTTTCCAGTTCCAGGAAAACACTATCAGAACACAAACATTGGAAGAATAATAAATGTGTAAGGGAGTTCACTGTACAATCCTCACCACGGTGTTAATAACAGCAAGAATCCACTTTACTTAATGAACTACAGTGACAGAAATGCCACACCATTTGTAGGCCTAGTAGATTTCAACTCTGTAAACCATTTACAAAACACACATCCTCTCCTTCAAGCTATTTATCAAATAAAAGCACACAAAGTCTTTTCCAAACCTATTCCTAATATGCTAATGGCAGCCTCCAAACAGACATCGCGCATTTGCATCTGAATAAGGTGAAGCTATTGAGCAGAGACAGCTCAGAATAATGCTCCAGAAGAGCAATTCAAGGATACCCTCCCTAAAGAATAGAAAAACTGGCTCCAGAAAAACATTTAATCCTCTATAGAAACCACAGATACTGAGTAAATGAAGCAACTCCTCGGTGCAGATGTGTATTAAAATTTGAGAAAGCAAGACATGACTTCCATTGTATGATATTTTTCTAACACTAGGACTGACTGTGCACTTGTTGCTCTGTATTGTGTTTTTCTGTGAGGGGTTTTTTGGTTGTGTCTTTGGTAACGGTGGAAGGGCTATGGAGATGGCCCTTTAAGAAGCTACCTGAGAAGCTCCCCCTTTGCCTCTTGTCAGACCCACCTCTGACCAGGGCCAAGACAATCAGTGCCCCTGCAAATTCATGTATTTAAAGGGGGTGCAGGGCATGCCTCTCTCTCTGGCACCGGTCCTGACCAGTGCGGCCCGAGGTGCGGGTGGCATGGCCCTGGCCTTGCCCAGCTGGGCTTGGCTGGCCCCAACCGCAACTTAAGCTTAAGACCTGCTGCAGCTCATCGCAGAAAAAAGAGAGAGCGAGCCAGGAACTCTATAACCATCGGAGGAGACCTGCAGCGGAGAAAGGAGTGGGACCCAAGGAGAACAACTCTGAAGAACACCAAGGTCAGTTTGAAGGAAAGAAAAGAGAGCGATGTAAGAAACAGAAATCATGACTCGTGTTGGATAGATATGCTTAGCAGCATTTCTGAACAGGAGCTGAGACTTGACAGATAAGGGCTAGACCACAAGCAAAAAGTCAACGAGAATATGCACATGTAAGATAATGAATATGTACACTAATTTTGTGAAATCATTTGCCTGCCTTTTTCTAGAAAATAATGAGTATGTAAACTAATTCTGTAAAAATCATTTGTATAAGCCTGCCTTTTCTAGGAAATAATAATGAATGTGTATACCCCAGTACAATAAAAAGCCTTCATGAATTTTTATGGATGTGCGAGTCTTGCGGTGAGGCGACTCCCCCTCACACCCAGCGCTGTTTTGCCTTTGCTTTATAATAAACCAAAATTATGATTGACATTATGAAGCGAGTCTCATTTCTCACAGGGAGGAGGAGAAGGACGCAGAACCCAGGTTTCCCCGTTGCAACCCCCGATGAGAGCCGGGTCGACTGGTCGTGTGTGAGGGAACTGTGACCATGGGCAGACTCGGATTTGGAGTTTTGTGGACTTGGGCTGAAGCAGTTTTGTGTGTGAGGGAAACTGCAGCTGTGGGCAGACCCATTTTAGACTTCTGAGGACTTTTTTTTTCCCCTATGGAAAGAGGGCCACATGAAAGCAGAGTGAGAGAGACTGGGCTAAGTGTGGCGGGAAGACCCACCCCCATCCCCCTGTGCCTCAAGGCAAAGGGGGAGGGGGAAGGTGAAGGAACTGGGAACAAAAGCTGAGCCCGGGAAGAAGGGAGGGGTGGGGGGAAGGTGTTTTGACTTTAAGATCTGGTTGTATCTCCCATTGTTCTACTCTGATGTTGGTAACAAATTAAAATTGTTTTATTTTTTTATTGCTTATGATGAGTCTGTCTTTTGCCTGTGACCTGTTTAAGCAGTGAGAAGCCCTCCCAGTCCTTATTTTGACTGGCCCTTTTTTGGGGCATTGTGGTGCTCAGTTATGCACTGGGTCTAAACCACGACATGATCAAAGTCTGAAAATGAATTAAGTTAAACTAGAATACAATGTAGTTTACATGTTACAAGAACAAAGTAAGTTAATCTGGAAAGTCAAATAAAGTATTATGCTCATGCACTGCAAATTTAAAGCTTTACTTTCAAATAAAAGATATCTGAAAGCGACAGTCAATCTGTTTCGAGGGTTAAGCAAACTTATTCTTGACAGTCTAAAAATCATCCTAACGCACAACCTGTAATTTAATAGGTTTAAATAATATTGAAATATCCATCTAGTTTTCCCTCCCAAAAGAACCATTTAAAGCAAAACACACTTGAATACAAAAAGCATTTTCACATTTTTAGTTCAAGCGACGATAACTCTTAGCAGTACCCACACCTTCTTTCCAGAAGGAGCTGATCCTACTGACTGGATACAGCAGATACAGACCCATCTGCGCCAGCTGGACCTTTTTGGATGTGGCCACGCTGCCCAGCACATGGTAGACGTCTGAAGCCAGGAAGAAAGGCATGCGAGCCCCTGCTGCATCCAGATGTTACCCGAAATCTTGCACGTTAGGCAATGCTGTTCATTCTACCTAACAGCGCTCCACGCTGCTGAATAAATCAAGCT